GAGAACCTCGGTGGGTCCCCAGGCCCTGGCTTGTAGCCCACTCTCCCTGCCGGAGCATGCCCTGGGCTGGAGCTGTGTCCCGGGAGCGGTGTTTCTGCTCAGAGCAGAGGTCTGAGCTCAGCTGTAGAAGCTTTCCCCTGGGGGTGAGGGGCCAGAGAGTTGGGCTGTTCATGTCTGTGTTGTGCTGCTGCAGCAAGGGAAAGGCTGCTGCCGTCAGCTAGGAGCAGCACGGTGGAGCCTAGGCTCCAGGGCCGTCCTGCACTCTGAACACACCTGAAATGCTCCCCCTGGGCCAGCTCTTTGTAGTCAGGTGGTGCTTCTGAGGCTTTCCCTGCCTGGGGGTGGATCTGGCACAGGTGAGATGCTCAGCTGTCACTGTGCTGTTCCTACCCATCTTCATCACCTGTGGCTTTAGGGTTTGTCATCACTCTGAGGATGTCAGTAACTGCCTCTGTGAGGCATCTCTGGGAACCCCTCATAAACCAGCAGCTGTGAACTCTTGCAGATTGCACCTTCGACAAGGAGTCAGAGCTCACCCCTCTGGAGTCAGCGATGGGCATCCTGGAGCTCATTCAGGAGGAATTCTCCGTGGCTGAGAAGACAATAGAGGCTGTTCAGAAAATGGTGAAGGAAGCTGTAAGAGCCTTTTCTTTTCCCATAAATACTCTGCTCATCTTCTGCCTTAAAAGGGTCTTGCATAAATGATGGTGGGCATCACCTCATGTGCAGAATGCCGCAGTTGGTGCTGACTTGGCTGCAAGTTGCCTGTGTTTGGCGTGTGTCCTTCTTCAGCTGATGTAGAATTGTTTCTCTGTGTACACTTGCACTGAGCTGTTCCTGTGTGCCGTGGTTGATTATTGGGTGTGCTTTTCCCAAGCTGATCTAGAGACTCTGGTCAATTCAGTGTTCACAGGGAAACCAGTATTTGTGTTCTCCTGTAGGCTGTTATCGTCTGCATCAAAAATAGGGAGTTCGATAAAGCTTCAAAAATTGTCAAGAGGCACTTGGGGAAGGACACCAGAAACCAGGTGAGTCTGCGCCGGGAGGAAAGGCGGCTGTTTGAGGACTGTGCTAGATGTCTTACGGGGTATTGGGGAGCGAGGAGATTTGGGGGTGGCCTGATTTGCCTTATGGGGAGCTGCAGTTGTGAGCCGTGTCGCAGGCATGAAAGGTTTCCCTGGGAAGCTTCCTGGGGAAACATGAACAAGAAGAAAAGGTGATGAAATGCAGAGCCCTCCTTGAACTGGGCATTATGCATCTCAAACACCTGTTGATCATCGCTTTGCAGCTCCCTCTGGCACTCATGTTCCCTCCTGTATCCCTGTGGGTCTGCAGGCATCAGCATTTGCCCCAACACAAAGCCCAGCTCATGTGTAGAGCACGAGTTCCTCAGAGGGGCTGGTTCTGAAGGCAGGAAAAGTCCCTGTTCCTGTTTCTGCAGATGCTGCAGTGTTGGGACACTGAGGTTGCTGGAATGAGGTGGCTCTCCTGCCCCCCCAGCCCTTTCCCAGCCCTGTGTCAGTGTAAATCAGTTGTGTCTGGAGAATGTCAAATAGGAAAGGTCCAATCCTTGCCCAGGCCCTGGCTCCTGCGGTTGTCGTTTCTACCCTTGTTATTCAGAGCATTCTTACCTCTCCTCTAGAAAAAGAGGAATGAGTTTCTGACTATCATCCGGGAGAAGAATTCAACTCATCCGATTGTCAAAAACTTCTCCTACGAGAACTTCCAGCAGAGCGCCTTTCAGTTCCTGAAGACCTATGTGGATGACTCGGAGCCGCTGCTGCTGACGGTACGTGTCTGCCTCACCCGGCTCCGTCCTGTGCTCGCTGCCACCCCAGCGAGGGGCAGCAGGAAAACAGCGTGAGAGAAAGTTTTGGGGAGAGCTGACACTGTGCCAGGAGGCAATGAAATGCAGTAATTTGGCTTCTATGTGACTTCTGTGCCAGTCATGAGTTAGTTTAGACATCTCATTAACGGTGGGTTGAATCCAAAATGCATTAAATTGCATTCAACTGTATAAAACTTTTAGGAACAAACTCATTTTTCAATCCATGTAGCAAGTTAATTAATCCATGAACTCTCTACGTGGTGCTGATAGAATTGCAGGTATAGCAGCTTAAAATGCCTTTGAGAGGGGATAAAATGGGATGGTAGTGTGAAGAATCATCTTTTTAATGATTATGTGCTTTTTTTCTGTCCAAGGTAATGAAAAAGACACTGAATTCAGAACGTGTCGAAGAACCAAAACACACATCGACTCCCAAGTCTGCAAAGGGGCCGAAGGAGCAGGCAACAGCTCTGGAGCCCTCGGGAAGCTCACAGGGTGCTGCCGGAGCTCCAGAGCCTGCAGCAACAGCAGCAGACCCAGAGGCTGCTCCCAGCCCAGTGGCAAGGACAACTGACCCCGCAGCAGCTCCTGCACCTACAGATGGAGCTCATGGCTCTGCAGCAGCTCCCGAGCCTATGGAAGGAGTCACTGACACAGAAGCAACTCCTGAGCTTTTAACAGCAGTGGTTGCTACCTTGGAAGATGCATCAGAGCCTATGGAAATATCTAAAGAGCCAGCAGCAGCTCCAGCATGTCCAGGACCATCCTCGGGGCACTCAGAAAGGTGGGCAGAGGAGTCTGGCCCTGCGCTGTGGATGAGTGGCAGCAGCTCTCTTCCACAGGGCGGTTTGTTCTGTCCAGGCAGCTCTTAACTGCCCGAGGGCTGTCAGTGTAGGACACCTGTTGGGAACACAGTAGAAATGTTATGGTGGTTTGGCATTTTTCCGAACGTACATAGTATTTTGGTAAACTGGGGAGGGCGGGCAGTGGCTGCCAGGAGGTTTGCTCTCGTGGAGCGGTGTTTGGTATCTGTGTGGTGCAGCCCTTGGTGGGGAACAGCAGAAGGACACCCAGCGCTGTCACTTGCAGGGAGCGTGGGACTGCTTGCTTGAGTATAGGCGTGTTCAGGAGCGCAGGCTGAAGGGTTGGGAAATGCCCTGAGTGGATTTTTATTTGCACCCTGGGGTCAGTTATTGAGGGCCACACTTTGGGGACAAGCCTGGTTCCCATGGAGCGGAGCCACCTTGGTGAAATCTCGACAACCTGCTCGGTTCTGTTTGTTTTGTAGGCAGCCCTCCGGAGCGGTAACCGCATACGGGATTTCGGCTCTGAGAGAAGCTTTCAAGATCCTGTCGGACTCCCGGGATTCTGATGCGCTCTTCACCAAACTGGACGAAACAGACTTTTCTTTCCCCAAGCAACTGTCTCCTTCTGTATCCCACAGAACCAAGAGACGGAAAGAAGAGGAGAATCACAGTTCTGAGATCTCAGACCCTCCCGAAATATCCCATAAGGGCAAACGCTTGTTGACCATAAGCAAACTGGTCATGGAGCGAGAGACCCGGTACAGCAAGTCGAGTGAGAGCCCAGACTCGTCCCAGGAGCCAGTTGTATCTTCTGCTTCCAGACCTGTCCAGAAATTGCAGGACCAGCCTGCGTCTACCAAGAATGCCAAGTATGAAGCCCATTTCTTGTGGTATATTCTAACCTGAGCCCCATCTTTTGACTTGCAGCTGACACGGGTAGCATGAGCAGCAAACCTCTTTAATTCAGGATGAGTTTATTGATGGTCCTGCTCCCCTGGCGTGTGTGGAGCTGGGCAGAGTAAAGGCTCTGTTGTCCGTAGGCTTTGCTGTTTGGTTAACGGAGAGGAGAAAACGACCATGGTCAGAGGCACTGCAGGGAGTAATGGAGGTGGCTCCAGCGTGTGGGTCCAGGGCACCCGTTGGGTTAGTGATGCTGAAGCTGGAAGGAGTTTGTAGATGCACCTTGTGGAGCAGATTCATTTCTTTCCACCTCTTGGGAAATGCAGCACTGCCCTTGCTTAAGCTCTTTTTCCTGAAAGCTGTGTTAGTTGAGAAACTCCTGGCTGTGGCTTTGTGTTTTCTGAGTGAGCTAGCACTTACCTTGCAGCTGAAGTGACTGCAATAAGTGGTAGGGCTATAGTAGGGTTTTTTGCTTTTTATAAGGATTTCCCACAGCAGATGTCTAAAATTAACTCTGATAGGAGACTTGAGCCAAGAGTCACTCAAGTGTCTCCCCTGGCTGCAACAAGGCTGTAGCAAAGCTTCCTGCTTAAACGTCAGAGTTGCTTTGCTTTTGTTTAGTGACATTGCAGAGCAGCCAGCAATAATGTTTGGATCCCCAGGAGTGAAACTGGGAAGACTGAGGAGAGCTTGATATCTTTGAAAAGATAAAACACAATTTCCTTTAGTCCTTGGCTTAAGAATATCAAGAACACAAAGCTTTGGTTTTGAAGGGCGGGCGGTAAAAATCCCGGTGCAGGACTTGTGAGTGGTGGCGCTTGATCTCCTGCTTTTTTCCGGTAGCACATTGTAGGTGATGTTGCTGTCCCTAGGGTACGTCTGGAGTTTATTTTGAGGATGCTGGGGAGCGTTGTGGGGACAGGATGATTTCTGTGAGCACTTGCAGAGCAGAGTGCTGTGGCTGACTGCCTTGGCAAGGGGCTCGGGGACTCAGATCCTGTGCCAAAAGCCCAGAGCGGAGCTGCTGCTGTGCAGCCAATGCTGGCTTGAGCCCCTCTCGAGCTTCAGCCCTGCCACTGTGCACAGTAGTTTCTGGTTTAGCAGGAAAACAATTTATTGTGTGGGTATCTCGTCTTGAAGCCTGGCAGTGTCAGGACTTGTGGTGGTGTGAACAGCATCCATCTGGAAATGTGGTCCTGCAGCTCCCTGCCCATAGCTGGTTCTCAGATGTGCTCAACAGCACAACTCAAGCAGGAATAGAGAGCAGTTATGGTCCTGTAGTCATAAATGGCTTCAGTTGGATCAGATGTGAGAGCCAGGGGTGAACATTTACGTTTTGAAGCTGTTTTTAACAGACATAACTTCATCTCGTGAGTTGATGCCTGAGGACTGGAAGCAGGTGACAGCGCTGAGGCACTGATCTCTGTTGACCTTGGTGTGAGTGGTGAAACAGTAAGGATTAAGTGTGTCTGGAGGAGACTGGAGGCTCCTGGCCTGAGCTGTTGCAGGTCTGTGCTGCACACACAGACCTGGGCAGTCCGGCTGTGCGTGCTTAATGGTGTGCTTAATGGCCAGTCACTTGTTTTTGCAAGTCCTAGGTACAAAATGCAATACTCCAGGTGTATTTGAGTGCATGTTGCATGCCGTACCTTCAGATCCTAAGGATTCATCCCCCCTTGGAGGGGAGTGGAGGGGGTGGCGTGTTTCAGTGTCACTTTATGGGTGCTTTTCTCTGTGTGCGCATTGTCGCAGCTCGCCTGCTGTGCTACAGGTGGCTCTGCACCTTCTCCCCCTAAAACACCCCCCTGGCCAGCAGCTGAAGTCACTGCTTGCCTGCTTTCAGGTCCTTCCAGGGCAGGTGGAACAGCTCATATGGCAAAGAAGAAAAGGACAGCTGGAGCGACGAGGATGAGCTCTTCTCGGGTAAGAACAGAGCCCCTGGTGCAGGTGGTAATCGTGGTGCCCGGGCTCTTCGCTTGCTTCCTTCTGCATGAATGAATTTTGCAACTAGAAATCCTAAAAGCTCAGAAAAGGGGTAGTTTTCCAACTCTGAGGTGTTTGTTCTTGGTCCCTCTGACCTGAAACACACACCAGCAACTCCCGTTCAAGAGTCAGACTGATTGTGCTTCGCTTACAGGATATAAGCACTGGAAATACTGCTCTTTCCCCTTTTCCACTTTAGCACCGTGACATAAAGGTTAAATTTACCTTTTCAGCCACATCAGTTTTCCAGTCCAGTTCCCTTTGCAGCTCAGTGCATAGCTTTGCTGGTGAAAAGGAGCGGGCAATGGGAATCTGATGCCAGCCTCTGTGTACGGTGTAATCCCATCCTGGGCAGATGCCCCTGTTGGCTACTTTAAAACAAAGCAGATTTCATGGAAAGCTTTCACATAAAGCAACTGGGGTGTCAGAGGGAAAGGCTGTGTGTGCTATAGCTGCAGAAAAAGGAGAGAGAAAGTAATTTGGGGTTACTGTCCGTCACGGGATGCCCTCACAGGCTGATGCAGAGTTAAGCCCAAGGCAGTCTCTCTCCCAGGGGGCTCTGTACCTCCTGAGTTACGGTGAAATGTAACCTCTTGCCTTGTTTTTCAGTGTCATTTGGGACAAACAGCAACAACACGACAGTCTTCGGTTCCAAGAAACAGGTAACGTGGAGCCCCTGTGTCCTTTCAGTAAGGCCTGAAACCGAGATGTGTCTGTATAGGAGAGCAAACTCGAGCAGTTTGAGGATTGCACCTGGGATTGCAGGGCGAGCACCAGACACCGAGTTTGGAAGTGGTGCTCTGAGACCAGTGCTCCCAGCTTGATCTGAGTTGTGCAGGTCTGTGCATTCCCAGAGCTGGCTGAGTTTCTCTGCTAAAACTGCCCTGTTTGGTACTTGGCTAAAGCCACGCATCTCCCACACGCCCCTTCTTAACACATGCAGTTAGGAGCCAGGTTTGCCGAGTTCCCCATGTGCAGGAGAGGTTCGGTGTCTTGTTTGGGTGAGGGATGCGGGTGGCAGCCGTTACCTGGCAGAGGTCCCCAGTTTGGGGCTGCTCCCTTGCCCTTGCTTACAGGCAGGTGGCTTTGGTGCCACTGTGCTTCAGTTATTTCACGTGCTGTGTTCACCGAGCGCTGTTTCCTGCTCTTTTTTGTAGAAATGGACGGTCCAGGAGAGTGAGTGGATCAAAGAGGGCGTCAAGAAGTTTGGGGAAGGGAGGTGGAAAGCCATTTGTGAGAAATACCCCTTCCAGAACCGCACGCCTGTGATGATCAAGGATCGCTGGCGGACCATGAAAAAGCTGGGACTCCTTTAAAGTCAGGAGCTACGAGACCTTTGGTGCAAAAACCTTCTTTTTCTCTTGAAGTACAGACTGGAGCAATGGTGGGGGAGGCTGCTGCGCTCATCCCAGCTGTGCGCGGGTGTGGCGAGCACCTCCAAAACACGGGCTGCAGCAGACGGGATCCACATCTGCTGAGAACCGAGGATCCTCGTGTGTGCAGCTGCGAGGTTTGGGTGTTCTGCAGCAGGATCGCACGCCCTCGGAAACGGCCTGGACTTGCTTTTCCACCTGGCAGCTGCAGCCTTCATAGAATGAATCCCACCCCAAAAAGCAGCTGAGATGACGGCTTTCTCTCTGTCAGGATAATCCCATCAATGGCTTTTTAAATGTCTCTTAATTGTCCAAACTGTAAATCACTTGATTCATCTGTTTGCTCCAGGAGAGAGGCAGCACAGCCCCAGAGCTGCTGGGGAGAAGATTTAGGCAAGGTGACCTGCTCTTTTGTTGGGTTTCCTCTGCACTGTGCATGGCTCATCTGCCAGTGGGAGCTTCTCCTGGCTTTTGAGGCTTTAAAATCATTATTTTTTTTGTTTTGGTACTTAATCGTTGGTTGCTCCCTCGTTAAAGTTCCAGTCCTTACCGATTCTGCTTGCGTCTCACTGGCACTTATCCCTCCTGGCTGCAGATGGGTGAGCTCCAAGCTGTGTGGTTCCTGTCTCCAGGTGCCAAAGCTGGAGCCCGTGTCCGAGCTGTTGTCTGTAAAATAAAGTTCCTTTCTCATTGGACATTGAGAGTTGTGGACTTGTACCTCATGGGTGGAAATGTGGCAGTTTGGGCCTGCGCTGCCCAGGAGTGGGGGGCTCCTCCTGAGGTGGGGGATATTGTGTTATGTGTTTGGGGTGCAGCAGCGATGCCCTGATGCTGTGAGGTGCTGCTGCAGAAGCTTCTGGTCTAATTTCTGTTGCAATCAAAGGCCAGGGAGATGTTTCCACCTCTCTTGGCTGCATTTGGCAGAGCTGGGGCTGGAAAAAGGCTGTTTGCAGACACCTGCTCCCCTCTGTCCTTCAGTGACTGCTCCTGGCATGAGCTTTCCTCCCCACCTGGCTGTGGCTGTGCCTTTCCCTCCCCTTCTGCCTGTGAAACCTGGGCTTGGAGCAGCTGTAGGTGGACAGGAGCACCCTGTGCTAGCAGGAGCAGCTCGATGGAAGCTGCAAACCGGACCAGTAACTGTCCAGCCTGTGCCTGTTGGTTGTGTCCAGTGGGAAGGGGATGAGCTGAGCCCCTTCTCCCCTCTGAGCCCTTGCTGCACAGGGAGGGTGCTGCAGCCTGAAGCAAACCACCGGGTGCCAGAGAGCAGCGCTGGAGGCGTGACACAGTGCTGCTGGTGACCACGGCGCTTGTCACAGCCTCCTTGGGCTCTAACATGAACCAGACCACAGAAATCACCTTGAGCAGAGCCTGTGCCGTGCTCCTGCCGACACCGGTGCTGCGGTGCAGTTAATGATTACCCTAGCAGCCTCGGGACCCCGCTTCTGCCCCGGCACAAGGGAGCACCGGAGGCTGGGGCACAGGATGCTGCTGCTGCTGCTGCTGGCACTGCCGGGCCCCATCGGCTGCCCCAGGACCAAGCTCCTCAGTGAGTCCAGCCAAGAGCCCCTCTTCCGTGGGGCGGATCGCTACGACTTCGCCATCGTCATCCCCGCCGGCACCGTGGAGTGCTTCTGGCAGTTCGCTCACCAGAGCGGCAACTTCTTCTTCGGCTACGAGGTGAGCGCTGTGGGACGCGGCCTGGGAAGCTGCCGGTGCTGTGCGGCTGCTGCTGGGGTCATGGAACGGCTGTGCTGGATTGGTCCCATCATCAATCCCACTTTTATTTTTTTAACTACCTGTTTTTAAGCCATAAAAAGTGGTGCTGAGTGCTCTGGCCATGGTGCCCGAGCAGCCAGAGCTCACTCAGAGCTGTGGGGTATCCCAGCACCGCAGGGAGCTCTGCCCTTTGCTGGGCAGCTGTCACACAGTGCAGGTCTTGGGCACAGCCCTATCTGCGTGTCCCTGTCCCCTTCCCACAAGGGAACCTGCAGTGCTTTTATCTCCTGTTTACACTGCACCGGTTGGAGGAGACCTGGGCATGACTGTGCCCAGTGCTGGCTCCTTTTTCCCTGGCTCTGTGCCCCACAGGAACACGGCACGGCTCCGGGGCTCAGCACAGCTCCGTGCCCCCACACTCCAGCAGCTGGGCTGCACCCATGGGGTCTGTGAGCACCCACAGCAGGCATTGGGGACTGCGAGGTTCATCACCCATGGGTTCCCATCCACTTCCCGGGTGCAGTCAGGCCCACAAACGCCCCTGGGTGTTTTCCTCCTCCAGGTCCAGCGGGCGACAGGAATCGGCAACAGCAGAAACATCCTGGCCACGGCCAGCGACCCCAATGGCTTCCACCTCGGCCTCTCCCAGAACGTGCGGGGACAGATCAACTTCCTCACCAAGGAGACAGGTCCCTGCTGTCCCCACTGCCCCTGGGCTCCCTGCAGGAGCTGCCCCGACCCCACAAATGCTCCCCTGAGCACTGATCTGTCTGTTCCTAACGAGAAGGACGAGGGCTGAGCGCTGGGGACGGCTCTGGCAGTGGCTCTTTTGCTCAGGGACCAATAATCCCCATTTCTCCGCAGGTTTCTACCGGCTGTGCCTGGACAACCAGCAAAACCACTTCGGCTTCATGCAGGTGTACCTCAACTTCGGGGTCTACTACGAAGGCTTTGACGTGGAAAACAAGCAACTGGAAGAGAAGAAGGAGCTGAACAACACCCTGGAGGCCATCGGGGTGAGTGTCAGGCAGGGGACCAAGGAGGGTGTTGGTGATGGCTGAGCCACAGCTCGATTAAACACCGAGCTCAGCGCAGCTCTTGGAGCGGCTCTGCCCCTGCCCCTGCCCAGCGCCCGCCTGTCCCACAGGTCAGCATCCGCAAGCTGCAGCTCCAAATCTTCCACATGTGGCGCTTCTACAACTTCGCCCGGATGCGCAAAGGGGCCGACTCCTTCCTCCTCGAGGCCAACTACAACTACGTCAACTGGTGGTCCATGGCTCAGAGCTGCGTCATCGTCCTCTCGGGGGTCCTGCAGCTCTACTTCCTGAAGCGCCTCTTCAACGTGCAAACCTCCGGCCGGCAGAAGTGCTAACGGCCCCCGGTAACCGCGCTGCCCCTTTGCAGGGCAGGAGAGGAGGCTGCATCGTGCCTGGGGAAGGAGCAAGGAGAGTTCTCCCTGCTCCTGCCTCGGCTGAAATCTCCCTGACAGAAGAAAAGCGCGATGTGGTCGCCCGAGCTTTGTGTGCTGGGTTGCTTTGTTACGTCCCTGCTTATTGTTAGAGCCCCAGTGCCCCTTTTCCACCACACACTCAGCAAAGGAAGCCCTGGCCCATGCTCTGTGGTGTAACCACAGCCTCCTGCCTGCCCCTGCCCCAGCCCTCAGCCTCCCCCTGGCCCCATTGAACCTGGTGCTTCCCCCCGCTGGTGTCGCACCCCAGGGTGTCGCACTGCCCCAGGCAGGCCCAAACCCACAGCAGGGGCAAGGGCAGACCCCCTACCACGGCTCCACACTACACAACAGGAGCTTTAGAAAAACAACAGCCTTTATATGATGGCAATGGTGGGTCTGGTGCAGGGGGAGCTCCTCGCGTTGGCAGCAGCCACCCCATGGGTGCAGGGCTGTGTGCTGGTGGTTCCTAGCCCCTCCGTCCTGCTTGGGGTGGGCTCCCCGTGGTGCTGTGCACCGCTGGTGCAGGACAAGGTCCATTCTTGCCCAGTAACACCCACGTCCTGGGAGCACTGGAGGTCTCTTAGGTCAGCGTGTCCTCGCTCCGCACGTACTCCCCGACGTCAGCCTGGTGGAACACCACGATGGCCATGGGGTCCACCTTCCGGCACTCCTGCGTCGACTTGGCAGCCACCCCGAAGCCCTGGATGGGGAGCAAGGAGGAGTTAGAGAGGATTTTTCCCCACATCCCAGCCCTGGGAAGCGCAGGGGCCGCACCGGGCACTCACCAGCGGGACGTCAGCCATGGAGTACACCACCACACCCTGGTACTGGGCCGTGTTCTCCGTGATGCGACCCAGCCCCGACTTCAGGACGTGGTTGCCGTAGAGGAAGGACTGCTCCGAGCCGGGTTTCACCCACACCTTGTACTGCCGGGGGGAGCAGGGC